GAGGGGGAGTTGGCAACAAAAGAAGGTGTGGTGACTTGAGATAGAGTGTATGGGTTCTGGGTAGTAACACTGGGTGGTAAGGGTGGTAATTGAAGGATCGGGATCCTAAATTATATCTTCAAGTTGCATGTTTCTTTGATTATATGCATGATATTATGTGGTGCATTTGAGTTGACTGATGATGTCTACCAGTATGTGTTGTTTGTAGTGATACTACTCTTGCTATGCTATTTGGCATAGTCTGGTTGCAGGTTCAGTGATATTTTTAATGAAGGTGAAGATGATCTCCGATAGTTTCTACTCCTCTTTCCTTATGTTTAGTAAATTGCACCCTCTTAGAAAGCTCTTGTACCTGTTAGACTAGTTCCTGGAGAGAGATCAATGTATTTCTCAAAAGTGCTTAGTTTTAATCAGTTTTGGAAGTATTTCGATTTACGTTATTTTTTCAATAAAGCGTGGACTTTTATCTAAGTGTATAGTCGTTCCGAACAATTGGGATGGTCCTTTTAATTTATGGAAATAACCAAAAAATTCTCGAACCAAACCGAATAACCTTACGTGTATATAAATATGTTTTATATATTAACATATTGTATAATATTTTCAAATATAAATATAATCTAAGTCCTAGACCTCTGATGACTAGACGACTTTGAGATTTGCTCTTTAATTAGTCTTTAATTAATCAAGTTTAAAATCAAATTAAAGGATACTATAATAGATATTGTATCAAACAATATGGCAAAACCTATGCAAGCACTCCTATCAAATGTTTAAGATCAAATAATATAACAACAAAGTTTTACATTCTTGACTTCTTGGTGAAGAATTGAAGTGTTTTTTCAAGAACATATTTGCGAAAGGAGTATTTTAGTTATAATAAATTTTGAAGTGATATTTTAAAAGTGAAAAAAATGAAAAATTAACCGGACCGTACCGATATTGAAGAGAAACCGACATGGATGGTTTTTAAAAATCTAATTTTGGTTATACATTCTAAAATACCCGAAAAATTGGGATGATATCATTTTTTAAAAATTGCTAATTGAACCATCCCATTGACACTCTTAATAAGAAATCAACTAAACATCGTTTATTGATTATTTTTTATTTGAGTTATGTAATTTAATACTTTCAAACCAATTAATATCGTGTGTTAATTATTATTTTTTCAGTCGAGTTATGTAGTATCAATTATTATTATTATTATTATTATTATTATTATTATATCTAAATTCTAATCTAAATAAAAATATGCATTCATGTCAAAATCATATAATTATAAAATAATATCATCAGAATAATCAAAATGTGAGGTGCAACAGACGACAAGTATCGCCATCTATCTAAGCAGATATAAGATATTGATTCCCCTTCTACTTTATTATAATCTTTTTTTGTGATTATTAATTTGTTATGAATAAGTATGGTATATTATTATGTTCATATATAAAAAAAGTCTTATTATGTTTTGTGTGTTTTAAGACTCTTTTAAGAAGTGAGAGATGTTTATAATCTGAATAACTATTTCTTGTCTTTTCTTTACATATACAGATATACTTATAAATTTAAAATTTACTAATAAATTTAAATTAATTTTAAGTCAAAAAATATTGACTATAATCATTATTAGGATTAAAAAAAAGAATATATATAAATTTCAAAGATATTATATAGAGATGGCGATGGAGCGGGACGGGTTAAGCTTAACTCACAGAAATTTTTATCCGCCCCGCATAACAATTTTTTTCATTTTCAATCCCCCACCCGTCCTGCATGAACTCGCCCCACATAAATTTTTTATTATTATTCTTTTTTTAAATTAAGTTTGATACTAAAAATAAAATTCATAAAAATAAATTCATTTTCTCATTAAGTTATACTAATTTGATAGATAATGACTTAAAATTATTTTTTAGAGGTTAATTGAGAAACGTGTAAGAAACCTAGTAGTTTTGATTGAACCATTTTCATTTATTATCTTAAATATAATTTCTTTTAAGTCACTAAATTATTTAAGATGATAAATAAAAATGGTTCAATCAAAACTAATATTGTCTTATCAAACGGAAAAATTTAAATCAATTTTTTAATACTTGGAGAATTCTGAATCTATTTGTTTTCTTTCGTTTTTTTTTCTTTCTTCAAAAAGTAACCTACCCATAAACTGCAACTGCAACGTAGGGTTGTTCATGGTTATGGTTAAAAAATCAAATCGAACCGCAATTCGAATTAAGCCGATAAAAAAAAACGATATTTGGTTTGATTTGGTTAGGTTTGATTTTACATTTTGAAAAACCGATATTATTTGGTTTGGTTTTGGTTTTACTAAAAAATAACCAAATCGAACCGATAAATTAGATATATAAATTTTATAATTATTTATATATTATTCATAAAAAAAATATAAATATTTTGTTAAATTTTAAGTAACTTAAGTCTTTAACTTTACCATTTTCTCAAGCTCAACACGTAAATTTATCTCATCTATTACAATCATAAGTCCAAGTCAATCAAAATTCATTACTTTAGTCTTTACTTACCATACCTCTCATAAGATAGTTACACCTTCTCTTAATTGAATCACTTTGTTCGTGTAATGATAACTTTAGTATTGTTTAACTGCTTAATTGAACCAACAATAGCTTTTCAGTAGATTGTTCATGGACTAGATGTTTGTGTCTATCAAGATATGAATGTCCTCAAAAATTTATTACTTTCAAATTGAAAAAACCAGAAAAACTGAACCAAACCGAACTAAACCGTCAATAACCAAACTGACGGTTATTTTTTTTCGTTTGGTTTGGTTTGGTTTTAGAAATTTAAAAAACCGACTAAATTGGTTTGATTTTAGTTTTAACTAATAACCAATTCAAACCGAATCACAAACACCCTAACTGCAAGCATAATATTTTTAATATTTTAAAAATATTTTTATTAAAAATTATGGCTCCGACAAAGCCCTATAAATTATGATATTTTCCGAAATCTCTGTGCTCTTGCCTATAGCCAGATACTGAGAGAATGAACTGCATTTTCCCTTCAAGTAGAACTGTGGGTGGTAAGTAAATTGTCAGCACAAAGTAATTAATCTATTATTTTATTTTATTTTTGTAAGATTTTAAATAATCGTAAGAATATTTCATCTAATGTAAATGTATTCCTCAGAATTCAACAAGTTATTCTAATATTAAATTAGAAGTACGAAAATTACCAAAGAATTGAACAAGTATATATGTTAAACTTATTTTTGAGGTATAAAAATTATTTTTAAAAATAAATAAATTATAAAAGACATATAGATTGGATAATAGTAGACGTTCACAAGATGGCCAATAATATTTATTGAGGGGGCTCCACCAATTATTGTTGTGTATGATTGATAATTATTTGGAAATATTACTAGAAGACAATCATGCTGAAAGCTACAAACTATCGACCCCTTTATTGATGTCATTTTTGTTATGATCCATATCTTTAAACTAATATAATAAAGTTATATCATCAATTATTATATCTTTATAATATTTAAGAAAAACGACGTGGTTATCACGTTGTATATGTAATAAAATGAACAAATAAAAAGGTATGGACGTATCCTCCCAGAAGTTTGCAAATTTTGGAATTAAGTTTCATGTTAGCCAAAAAAAAATTAAAAATTAACTTTGGGTTAAATTGAACTTGAGTTTTATTAGCAAGGAGGGTCCAATCATTACTTTTAAAAAAATGTAATTTAGAAATTTCTTAGTAATATCTAATTGATTCATCACTAAATAACACAAGTTAATTGAATTTTCACGTATTTCATAGTTAAATGGGATTAGCATGAGAATTTCGTTATTTAACTATACATTTTTATTCGTCGTTAAGTTCTTATTTTCCTGTAGCGAATTTTTCAACGCGATGTTAATTTTGATACCAAAGATAATGGAGGGTAAAAGTACTTTATTTTTGTTAGTTCGAAGATATTTTTGACAGTTAGTTTTGCGAATTAATTAGGTTAATTGAACTCTAGTTAAATCAAAGATATATTTAAATCAATTATTAAATGGTAAACAAAACTATTAACACACAAAGGGTATACTACTCAATTTGACATTATTTAAGAACATAGATTTATCAATTTTGAAATTTATGAACATGCTAGATTGATAATCAAATCAATAAAATATTTATTATTGATTTTCGATTCCTCATTTTTAATTCTTAATCATTCGATTTTCGATTAACCAATAAGAAAATGTTCATAAAACATGATGCTCATAAATTAAAAATAATAGAAAGAATAAAAGTGCAACAAAAATTCTACATTGATCACTTTTTTTATGATAGAATTGATCTAATTCCTTCTACAGGCTAATGCAATAAATTGCGGAAACAACATTTATTATATGTCTTATCACAATTTAGATCTTGAGAAGAAGATAATACTAACTTATGTCATGAAGAGAAAATGTATCACAATAGAGAGGCTACTTTGTGTTGCCTACGACTAAAACATTTTATATGGCAATGTTCATTAGGGATTTTGCTCCCCTCCATTATTCTTTCCATTCATTTCGTCAAGTACATATTTAGATAAGGGACATGTGTCTTATTTAATTTCTAAAGGTCAAGATAATATTAGATTAACCAATACATATCTCTCATCTAAATGTGTACTCGACGAAATGGGAGAAAAGAGTAATAAAGGGGAGACAAATCCAAGGAAAAAAGACTTTCAGCACATAGGGAAGATACCCTTAAAAGTTGTGATTGTAATGATATTTCTATGCTATAAAAGCATCCCATCAACAACAAAATGAGAAGCTTAAAGTTAAATAACTTTAGATATTGTAACATTCTGCTCAAGTTAGTCCCGGACACAAACAGTGGATCAACATGCTTTGTGTCTAGACATGGGCGGAGCCAGTGTTTTAGTTACGGGTTCGGTCGAAAATTCATTAAATATGTAACAAATTATTGATTTAGAACCTCGTACCTTAAAAGAATTAGAATTACGAATACAAAAACTTCAAATTCTGAGTCCGTCTCTACATAAAGACCTTATTTTCTTGGACAGACTCGATATTTACTGTGGGGATAATAGTTTCAGAACACTTGACAACTACAAGTTCTTCATTCAACAAATTACCTCTTTGCTTCTTGCAGTGCCAAGTTTCTGAAGCCATCTTTCCTCTTTTAGATGATTTGTGTATAGACATCTTACTTCTTCAGAGCGCTGGCAAATCTTCCGGGGTCAAATCGACTAAGATCAACTATGCTAGCATGTCCATCCAAAACGAGTTCGGCCATAGCTGCACCAGTGGCAGGTCCATTGAGAATTCCCCAACAGCTATGTCCAGTTGCCACATAACAGCCTTTAAATCCAGGAACTTCTCCGATAATTGGCACATCATCTTCGCTGCAAGGTAAGATGCACGCTTGTTCAGCCTTCACAGCCGCTTCCCCTTCAACTAAATGGCTTGACACAGTAGTAGCGACTCTCTTAAGCGCGTTTATTGATTCAGGAACTGGAGTTATCTGCTCTGGATCATCTGGAACCTCTGCCTGAGCTGACATTCCACATATATAAACTTCCCCTGAAGAACATGTAAAACATAACACTCTAACTCAATCAAATCCTTGTTTTGTATACGAAAACAAGGCATATGTTTCGTTCATGTTGGAAAGAAACACACTTTCATTTCAATATCAGGCAGCTCACTGAAAATAGAACTAAGCAATAATTGGCAGGTAACCTTCTCCATCTTTCAACATGGTGAAGAATTTTTAGGTAGGCAGGACCCATTGTATTCATGGATACGAACTCAAAAAATGGATGCATCACTCGTGTACATCGTGAATTATCATATCAAACAATAGCATACATGTAGGCTTAACTTTAGAGAACTAGAGAAGAATGAAATGAACATGGAACAAAACATTGATTTTTGAAAACCATACAACAAAGCAATAATACCAAGCCATAAATTAAAACAACTTCTTAGTGACCCTTCCTAAAAGTAGAGATGTTTATAATTAGAGGTGGAACCAAGATCCAATTTTATGGGTTCTCAATTTAAGAACGACGATTTTAAATGCTAATAATTGAATTCTAATTTTATAGTGACTAATTGAAGATAAAGGGATCAACATTGTCCCAATGAAATATATTTCGCAACAGAGCCAACCAAGTAATAGCACACAATTACGATGATATTGCACTATTACACACACATATGAAGGAACTAGCTCACCATTGTCTCTAATAGTGAAGTTAAAATACCTTTTCCAACTTACTATATATGAATGACAAGTTTAAACAACATTACTATATATTTTAAAACAAATTGTCAAACTTAAGTCACTCTATATTAAGCTAATACACTACTTTGTTGTGGCAAATATAATTGAGAGATCATTCTTTGAATGTAAATTGCCAGAGGCGGATCCCACAATTTTAACTTAACTAGTTTAACTTTTAAAATTCTCATCATTGAGCTCATTATAACGTTAAAATTATGAATTTAAATCTAATACTTATTAAGATTTTTCATATATATTTATACTTCCCCTCGAAAGCACCAAAAAAAAAAAAAAAAAGGCTACGTCTACCTCTGCAAATTGTAATACAATTAGGAATGCTTGGTAGAGTGTATAAGAATAATGTTGAATAAGATGTATTAGTAATGCTTACATTAGTTATTAAGATACCATGTCTGAACATTGTTTGATTTGGTATATTAAAAATAACAGACATTGGATAATTTCTAAAAAGATATTTATTTACAAAAGATAACTTGAACAAATATAGTGAAAAGGACCTAGAATAGAAAGGATTTCGAGGGACAATTATATCTTTAAACGTGCTAATGTATGCTTTGAATTTTTTGCATTATACATACCATAATATCAAATAAAATGTATTGGTTATACATTGGGTGCTTTATTTTTTCTAATGCACCTGTAATTGATTGAAGGGAAAATTACGTGGAAAAGTAAACATCTACTAGTTAATTAGCTAACATAACTATGATTTGAATTAATTACGGCACACATCTTAATTTTAGTTGTAATTACGTAGCATGTCCTCTTTTATACATATACAAATACAAATTATACACATATATATACAATTATATGACAGATATATAAATACAATTAGCCTCTCTCCATTCTCTGTCCTTTCTTGCTCGCCTCTCTCCTCTCTCTCCCAATCTCGCTTGCCAAATATACAAATACATATGTATATCAGTTATATATATACAATTATCTAACAAATATGCATATACAATTCGTCTCTCTCGACTATCTGCCCTCTCTCGTTCGCCTATCTCATCCCTCTCTCAATCTCGCTCGCCTCTCTCCTTCCTCTCTCAATCTCTCACTCGCCAAAAATACAAATACATATATATAATAATTTGACAAATATACATATACAATTCGCCTCTCTTTCCTCTCTCAATCTCGCTCGCCTCTCTCCTCCCTCCTCCCTCTAACACGTAGCTACAAATTGTAATTAGCAAATTATAGTTATGAAGCATAATTAAGTTATTTTTGAATGGTTAGATGCGAAAATTCTCCTATCACTGTTTACTACCATAAACTCTTGGACAATATTGACAAGTGCATATTGAATCCGTAAAAATGGATAGTACCTGTTGGACGAGGATATACTTCTGGGTCCATGGGCTTTCCACCTTGGGCCGGATAATAAGTGAGAAAGAGTGCATGTGGCGTGATCTTATTGGCTTCTTTCGGTTCCAGTACAATACTATGGGCTTTAATTCCATAAACCCTGAAAAGCGAGCCCAAAACAGAAAATCTCTTACTCCAAGGCCCAAGTGCCAACACAACTGCTTCAGCACCAATCTCCCTCCCATCTTCCAGTACCACTCCTCTGGTTTTCCCCTCCGCCATTTCCACTCTCTCTACTTTACCAATCACAAGCTCAACTCCATAATCCTCCATCGCTTTCGACAGTAGCGTTTTCGTAAACATCTCTGGATGGACTTGGGCCGTACTGTCAGTTGATCCAATTGTTCGTGGGCTTTTAGCTGGGCCATCGACCCAAGACGGAATCGGCCCAGTTCGGATCGACGATGACGAAGATGATGATAACGATGATGATGATGATGATTCGGTGACAGAGACACTTAGAGTAGTGAGTGGACGATAACCGTATGATTCTGATCCATTAAGCTCTTGAGCGAGTGAGCGGTGTAGATTGAAGCTGGCGCGTGCGAGAGACGCGACGGGACCGCCGTCGCACCAATCTAGAGCGAGGAAACCACCGGCTTTACCGGAGGCGGCACAGGCGACGGAGGATTGTTCGATTAGAGTTACGGATGCGCCGTTTTTGGATAGGAAGTAGGCGGTGCAAACTCCGATTACTCCGCCGCCGCAGACTGCTACCTTTTTCGGTTGTGGATTGGTGTCCATTGACGGCGACGATGAGGAACGTATTAGGAAGAATGACGGGGATTTTAGGTTCTGGAAGTTTCTGGGGACTGAAATGAATGGAAATGGAAGTACAGGGGTTAACAACATTTCTTTAATTTAGAATTAAGGGACTTGGAAACTCAAAAGATGACACGTGTTCTGTGCTTCCGTAGCTACCAGACTTTGGGTATCGGAGAAGAAAAAAGAAAGGGAGGAAGGAAGATAGCTTACGTGGGTTTTAATTTGGAATATAGAGAAATTATTATTTTAAATAGATCATCATCTCAAAAATAGAAATAATTCAAAACAACATATAGAAAATGAAATAATTTAAATGAAGCTAGCTATGATTAAATATTATAGATAACCTATAAATCATCCTAAATGATAGTTATTATAGGTAAATTGATAATCGAAGTATAAAAAAATCACGAATAGTGATGGAACTCAAAAAACAACAACAGTAAGAGCAATAGTATGACTAATAATATAAAAGAATAAGTGAGATTAAAAAAAATAAACTTAAATAACCAATTTTTTTAAGCTTAACATATTTTTTATTTATTTTGGTTAATACCAATTCCTTAAAATACTACTGTATTCACTTTTGTCTTAATTATTAGTTATAACTCAAATCATAAACTTAGGCTTTCATTAGTAAACTCATGTTTCACGAATTGAAAATAAAGGCACAAAATTAAAGACCAAATGTAAATTGAAGTACGCAGATATAATGATATATCAGCTGCGGCAGCATTATACAATCATAGCATAAAACTATACTAAGAATCTTTTCATTTCCTATAATTAGCATTGCCGATACAAGTAGCTTGAGGTGTAGCTAGCATGAAAAGTATGAATTCCGCAAAGTACAATAACTTTAATTAAAATCTATAAATTTATTGAAAAATTTAACTTATATTCCAAACCCCCTAGCTAACAGAGAGCATGCAAAGAATGGAACAAATAAATATTAGTAATAAAAAATTGTGGTAGCCCAAAAATTAATGTCACTATTGGTGATTGCCTGTGACAATTTTGTGTCCTACTCCAGGGCTAGGGCCTGCCTTAATTCCTCCAAGAGTTTGACTGTTTGTAAACTTATGGCCAACTCCAGGACTAGGGCCATCCTTAATACCACCCAAACTTAACCAATCAAACGTTCCCTTTTCATTGGAGTCAGAACCAAGACCTTGAATCTTCAAAATATTGAGAGGACGTGCTTCAGAAATCAAAAGATTAATCGAAGCAACTAAAAGAATTAGAAATAAAATAAAGTCCACAAATCTCGCCATTATTTTAAATTACAAGCACGAAAAATGATGCTTTTGTGTGCAATAACTTAACCCCCTCCGATTGTAAACTAGTGATGATGTATAGGCGATTTTGTCGTATATAGCTTTTAGAAAACTAATGAACCACGACAAACCCTCAGAAGAAACTAAATTATATTGTGTTGCTAGTTGATATTCTCTTCATTTGCCAATTTATAGTAGTTAACTTGTGGGCTATCTTTTGACCAATGAAGATGGCTAATTGTTTATTCAAATTCAACGTGAGAGTACAATGATGTTAGCTAGAAATGTTGTAGAATGTGGACTGAAGAGTCTAATTTGGGCAGCACCCAGTGGCGTAACCATATTTAGTACTGGTGCTCAGACATAAAATTTTTGTCGAAAAATTATATAAAGCATATAAATTAATAATTATCTTTTATATATATATATATATATATATATATTTATTTATTTTTTTATTTAATTTTTAATTTTTTTTCTATGTTTGCTCTATTTCTTGGGGGGGGATATTTTCCTCAACTGCGACAAATTAGAATGATTAATTAATTATTTAATTTTGGAGATTGTTAGGTCTTGGTCAATTGATTCCAATGTAGCTACCAAATAACGCCACAACCACCTTTGACCTGGCAGGTTTAAGATTTAATTGGTGTGGGGGGACATAAATAAACGATTTAAGAAACAAAATAACTCTTATATATAATAAATAATTTACCTTTTTTCAAACATAACAACGAATTCAAATTGTGGTTATAAAACCTAAATAACAACATATTAAAATTATTGAGATTAAGCGGATCAATTTGGGCAGGTCAAGATCCAACCCATTTTTAAGCCCATTGGAGCCCAAAGTAAACTTGGGCAGGTCAGAAACCAACCCAATTTTTCTTTCAACTCATTTTAATATCTCCGATTTCAATCTAACCCGCCTATTTGACACCCGTAGATACACATATGTATCTCCTCAAAACTGCCCTCGTCTGCCAACAATACACAAATACACATATGTATCTCCTTAAAGTCTCCAGTCGTTTATCATAGATACATTGATACATGAATATGCATATGTATCTCTTCAAAGTTGTCCACTCAAATTTTTCAAAGAAAAATATATCAAACGTGGAAATGTGCATTGAAAATAGAACAAAGAGAAAAGCCTAAAAAGTAAAATAATAATAATAATAATAACTGATTCAAACACACGAAATAAAATATAAGAAAAAAGGCTATAGGGAGAGAGAGCGCGCTCAAATATACGATTGATAAATACAAAAAAAAAGGCTATAGAGGGAGGGAGCGAGATAAAATATACAATTGACACAAACACACAAAGTAAAATAGAAAAAAATAAGGGAAAATTTCACAAACAGCTACAATAGAAAACATAATAGGTCTCCTTAACTATAGTTTGTCTATTTACGTATCATAGCTATAGTTTAAATAGCTATTATGTTTATGATTTGTATAATTTGGCCTATTTATAATTAATTATAAAAAAATCTGTTTAATTATACTTAACTAATTAAGCATTAATTGAGGAATGTCTTAATTAAAGGTAATTTAGTATAATTAGGATACGTTACCAAAATAAGACTTCTTCCTTTTGAGGACTATTCATGGTTTTCCTTTAATCAAAACTTATTTTGTATTAGAACATTAACAATTAATTTATTTTTGTGGCTTGAACAACGAAAACGTAAATATAAGAATCTATTCATTATGAGTTGTATAGTTTTCTGACTACATTCAATTTATCTGATTTCATATATTTCTTGGTTAATTCGTCTTTAATTTGTATTATTGTGTTATTGACTACGGATATCAATTAAAATGGCATTCTATATGGACTAGTTGATTTGTTTGAAAATAATTTGTAGATGTATATAATTGGTATCAAATTTTACACTAAGATTGTTTGTGACTGATTTTTTTGTCTAAACATATAATTGAGTGTTTTTCGATTAGTTGTATCATTTTGTATATGTTACTGTTTGTTTTGTATATTAAACAGATTTTATACAATTCGATATAAATTTTAATCAACTAAGTGTAAAAAATTGGTAATTTTAAGTACTTGTATCAATTAGTATATATTACTATGTGATTTGTATATTAGATTTTATACAAGTTGTTATAGATTTTGAGTCAAAAAGTTAAAATAATTTAGTAATTTTCCATTACTTCTAACAATTTGTAGATATTACAGTTTGTTTTGTATATTAAATAGACTTTATACAAGTCGTTATATATTTTAAGTCAACAAGTGAATGTAATTGAATAATTTTCGATTAATTCGGTTAGTTTATATATGTTACAATTATTTGTGTATTTAATGAATTTTATATTTTAAGTCAACAAGTTAATATAATTAGTAATTTTGGAGTTCTTGTAGCAGTTTGTATAAGCTACAATATGATTTGTATATTAGATAGATTTTATACAACTCGTTACATGCTTTAAGTCAATAAGTGTATATAATTTAGTAAATTTCAATTAATTGCATCAGTTTTGAATATATTACTATTTTGAATTGTATATTAGTAGATTTTACACAAGTCGTTATATAATTTAAGTCAACAAATGAATATAATTGAATAACATTTTATTACTTTTACCAGTTTTGTGTATGTTACTATTTGATTTGTATAATAAATAATTGTATAATTAAATATATATTTAAATATATTTTATACATTGAGTGGGATATATACATTGTCAACAGTGTGTCATGGTACAATAACATGCAATCTGTAAGCATGTATATAAATTGGAACCCCTAATAAAGAACATTAATTTAAATATTTGTATATCAATAACATAACTTCATTATACAAACCGTTGTAGTTGTATATATCAATTGGACTTGTATAATTATAAACAATAACACAACTAGTTATGCATACACATGCTTGATGTTAATTATAAAATAAATACAATTATCTGAGATTACAATTCATTTATTGTGTCATATACAACTAAAATTATCCAAGGAAAAAAATGAAAACATGAAAACATGGCTATACCTCAAAATCATCTGCTACTTGTTGGTCCATTTCAACATAATCATTTGTTTTTGAGTCATTTTTGCTTGAATATGCTTTTTGTACTATTTTTTTTTACAGGAATCAACTCGGAGTCATTTAACCCCGTATAGATAGGGTCATTGATAAACTTAGATTTAATCTCTTTCTTTGTTGTGTTTGAATCAAAAGCTTTAGATTTCGCAATAGAACCTGTAAATGTTTCAAAATCTTGAGTTAAATCCAATGAAAAAGATGGATTCTCAACCAAATTTGTTGTATGCAAATGTATACCTGTAAGTATTGGGTTTGGGTCGCCCATGTGGATCGACCCGACCCGATCCAATCCAAGATTGTTTTTTTCTGAAAAGAAAAAAAGAAGAAGATAAATATTAATTTAAAAAGGGGTGGGAACAATTACTATTCTCTCCTCTTTAAATTAAGTTATTTTTTGCTTTTTTCTTCAACGCTTCAGAAAAGAAAAACAGGAAGAACAACAAAAACTCAAAAAGACTTAGATTAAAGACACAACAAAAAGCATTTAGTTTGTGAAACACCATCTTTGTTTCCTAGTGATTCAAAGAAGGATTTGGAGCAAATAATTTAGTTCATAAATTTCATTCCGCTGCAACAATCAAAGGTACACAAATCTTGTACAAAACGTTGATTAAATTCTATCATTGGCATCAGAGCCAGGTTAAGTACTCCATGATTTTGCATAGTAATTCCTTGAAGTATAATACTGATTATACTAACCTGATATAAATTGAAAAGATTAGGCTCATCATAA